CTGATTATTTCTTTATGAACAGTCTTTTCTTCATCCAGTGAAGGGTTATTTTAAATACCAGGGTGCTAAACCTAATTTATGAGCGTGTCACATACAGAATTGTATCATGGTTTACTCTCCATCATTACACAAGACATGAAAACACTCCTTCATGCTGGTGCCCTATATCACTCGATGGTAGTGCAGGGAGGAACATGTGCACTTCAGCAGTGTCCAGGGAAGTCACACACCAGCTGACACTGCTTCTGATGCATGAACATGTATGCCTTTCCTATAGGATAAGCAAGAGCCTAGGGAGAAAATTGTATTCTCCAAGAAAGAATAAAGTTGTGATTTAGACCAAGTATACCTAGTGTTCATAAACATGAAAAGTCAATGAGTGACCTTGAACCAGGACAAGTTGTTGAGTGAAGGCAGAAGAAACGTATTCCTGTGGTCCTTGATCAAGTAGAAAAAAGAAAATTATTGCAAACGTATATATGTATGTGCAGATTGACAACACAAGCCTGATTCTATAGGCCGTCTTGTGGAGCTGAATGGAGAAATGAAATCTCAAGCTCTGATGTTTTCTGATCTTCTTCACAGAAACAGAAAATTGTAAATGGGTCACCAGTGGTCCCCGTGTAGACACTAATACCTGTGAGCATGCAGGCAATGCTGTTATCACTCTGAACTTTTCTTAATTTAGCAGCCCACCATGGTGGGGTAACTTGTCACTGTCCTCATATCAGCAAATTCCATTTTTTTGCAGAGTCTTATTACATTGAGGCTCATTGGGTAATATTGTCAGTTCTCCTTCCTCACCCCATTCCCCATGTAGAAAGTTCCTCTCATAATTAGTTTTGTTTTCCATGAATTCCAGACAATGGAGGACCCTTTTGTTGAAAGGTCCCTCTGTTTTCCCAGCCAAGGGAAAACAGGGAAAGGATAGGGGATAAAAATAACACCACTCAAACAGAACTTTTGGAGACCACCTCTATGGCTGATATGAAAAAAGGTGCAAAGCACTGAGATTACATTTCCAGGGGAAGGCTTATGAAAGATAGTTGAGCCATTTTGTATGTTAATCATACATTTGCCTTGGAGTCTAAACTGTTTTGCAGTTATCTAGTACTGATAGCAAAAGTAGATAATGGAAGATGAAGAAATTTATTCTTAGGTAAGAGAGGTCTTTGGTGTGTTTTCATAGACTTCAGAAGATTGTGAGAGACTGCTAACAATTAGGGCCAACAATGAATAGGACATGCTTTTCAAATGTTACTAATTACATTGCATAGCTAGCCTGTGTATTTTTGTAGCACATTTGCCCACAGGTTTAAATAATATAAATGGAAATTATTTTAACATGTTTCATGAATCTACCTCTAAGTTAATGTCCAGCAGAAGGTACAATGTTGTTGGTCTGTTATAGATTCTGTGACTCCTAGGAATTACGATTCTACCTTTGGAATATGGTGAAGTTAGTTTGGGATAAATATTTAGTGGACAGAAAAGTCCAGTTTCTTTTTTTTGCTGAAAACTGACGAGAGTATGAAAACACTCACCTGGAGATGTTCTCCTGCAATGCATAAAGGTGTTAGAGGATAGTATTTCTTTCTCCCATGTTTTTTAATCAACTGATTGTTAGAGACTCATTAAGATAATTTCTGAAGAGTTCTTTTGTTCTTGCACTTAATCCTCTGTTGTTGTTGTAGTACTCCTTGTCGTGTGATAACTTTACTACTGCAACTAAATATATTTATACACTCTCCTACAATACAACTGAGTTGAAGTAAGCAGGTAACAATGAGGATTGATAGTTAAAAATTCCTCAGTAATATATTAGAAATACAAAATTAATTACAATTAATATATGTTTGATAGAAGTTTTCAAAGAGACCAAGTTTTTGTTGGCTTTTTAAAACAAGTTTGTAAGAAGCTTCATGAAACATAGGCCCTGAATATAAAAAGTTAATATCCTGCAACTATATTAATGTAATGTCTAGAATATTACATTACTTTGTTTCCAGAGATAATCAATGATGTTAATATAATATCTGCCTCTCAGAGCCAATGTATGATTTGAATTAATTATTGCTTGTAAAGCACTTTGAAGTCTTTAGCAGTAAGGTGTTGCAAAGTGTAAAAGTACTATTATTAATTTAACATCACCATTAAAGTCAGTACTTTAGGAGCATTTGCTATACTCGGCTCAATATCTTTTTATTCATCATATGCTGCATATTAGTTATTTTAACATTTAGAAAGCTTAGTAATCTGGAAGTATTCCAAACCATTGTTCCAGACAGCAGTTAGATATTTGGGTGGATCATGTAAAAACAGTGAAATGGCTGAGAAAGCATGTAAAATGTTTGTTTTAAGTAATATTACATCAATGGAACAGACATCTGCAGCACTGGACTTGATTTTAAACTTCTTTAAACTTTTTTGAAGTTAATATTGTACTATGTTTTTCTAAAATTGATTGGGAGGGGGCTAATATCGTGTTATTTCTAAACAAGTAGACTTTTATCTTTTGTTCAGTTTTCATTTCTGTTTCTGAAATATTTGTGGGAAATCGGATTTACAGTGGGCAGTTCTTAGGAGGTGGTGAACTTCTGCCACTCAGTATTATTGTTGCTGTTTGGTTTTGTAAGCTAACATATGAGCAGGGGTGGGCCTTGGAGGCTGTAGCCTCAGAAAAAGAGTATATAATCTCTCTTATCATATAGTGATTATGTGCCATAAAATTATGCTGTGTATTTACACAGTTGTTTATCTATAATATTATATTCTAAATTGTGCCAGATGGAGAAAAAGAAATTTTAGGGATCCTGTCCTCCATCTTTCTGAGTACAATTGGTTTAATTTGTGTTTAGCTCTAGAATTCAGTTCTGGAGTTCAGTGTCCTGGCTTTGGAGCCAGTTCTAGACTGGGTAAAACACTCTTAGAGTTCAGGGTCCAACCAAACTCCCCAGCCCTAGGAAGGTAGGTGGGGAGAGCAATTGGGTGAATAACAGATATGTCTTTGTGAATGGTGTAAGCAGAAGTTCCAGATTTTTGAAAGCAATATGAATTGAAAAGCCAAATGTGCAAGTAAATCAATTAAAAGATTCACCTGTAAGCAGTTGCTGAGTTGGCAGTGAGGAACTTCCATTTTCACTATATAGTTGAAAATGAAGGCATTAATTATGGGTAATGTTTTTTGAGTCTTTTCCTTGTGGTAGACATTTTATTTAAAAGTACTACTTGTGCTACTACTATTAGAGGAATCCTTTCTAGGTACTGGAAATTAAATTCCTTTTCTTCTTTGAATTTATTCTACGTTCTGAAATTAATTTAATATGTGCAGCAAGTGAATTAACCATTGAACCCTTTGATTTCTCTTGGGATTACTAAATCAGGTAACAAACAGGTTTTATTATGCCTAGAATGAAATGCCATATGGCTCAGGTTCACTCATGTTATTTTCAGATATATGCTAGAAGATTAAAGTATGTTCTTAATAAGAAATTACACATTTCAAGCTTGGTTTATGATGTATTAATAGTAAGAAAAAGGTCTTCCTCTTGTATCAGCTAACTGGTTAGTTGTGTTTCCAACAAATGCTTCATTATATCAGAAAACTAGCAAACATCATACTTAATTCTACACATTTCCACACACAGGAATATCAGCAAAACTGATCAACTATGTACTTCTGTTTCCAAGCAAGTTTAAGGTTGAGATATTTTCTAAAAATATCCTCAAAATTTTGAAATGTAGACACATTTTCCCTAATTTACATATCACTGGAAATATTTAAAAGTAATTCACATAAATGAATTTAGCTCTTTTTAATGTTTACTGTAATTCCTGTTGATAGTAATGATGGCTCACATATCCTTTTCTTTTTCAGTTTAAACATTCTCAAAGGCAAATAGCTATTTGCAAACTATTGGATGCCTTATATACAGCTAAATAAATAAATAAATTCGTCTTCACTGCAGAGCAGTCAGTCACATCAGAGTCATTAGCACAGTTAACAATGTGGTTGCAGGGCAACTTGAAAGTTTTTTAACCACAGGCTACCTTTGTAATTCAGCAAACACTTTAGGCCAGCACATCAGGCAGAGCTGCTACCGAAAGAAACCACTCTGCCTTTCTTCTGCCTCCAACAGCTCGTTCTCATGAACATCCCTACATGATCCTATAGGTGCTGATCCTGGCATAAGCAACAGAGCAGCGGGAGAGTACAAACAGCAGCTGTAGGTGGGAGAGAAAACCAAATGAATTTGGTGGCAATGGTGCTCATACAAAGTAGTTTCAATTATTTGTGAAAAAACGACCTAAATTACTTTATCAGAAAGGAGGTAGAAAAATGTAGGTTAATAGTGATTGTGCTACTATTTTGAAGCAGCATCTGTTCCTCATGGTTTGTAGGTGTCCAAACATTTTTTGTTCATGTTGTGTATTCTGTGCTAGCCACAGTTTTAAAATCCAGGTTTGTACTTTTTTAAAAGGAGTTGGGGAAGAGGAAAAAGAGAGGCAATTCAGATCTGCTTTGTTTCTAAATAAATTATGCCATTTCATTTACAGTTACTGTGAAAAAAAAGGTACTGCTTCTAAATTCTTACTTGTTTTTCACTGTAAAATATGTTAATGAAAATTGTATATGTGTCAAACCCATTCTAGAGTAATAAGAATGATCTTTGGTTTTGTTTTCAGCACCAAAGGGAATACTCCATCTCTCTCCTGACGTTTATCAAGAGATGGAAGCAAGCCGCAACAAATCAGCCCCTGGTACCACTGTAAGCTATTTGTCGTCCAAAGAAATGAGCCAGACTTCCAGCTCTTTCTTCAGCATATCTCCTACAACAAATAGCACGGCTACGATTGCCAGGGAACTTCTCATGAATGGAACGTCCCCAACTGCTGAAGCCATAGGTCTAAAAGGAGTATCTCCTGCTTCCCCCTGTTCTACAGTGCAGCCTTCAAAACAACTGGAGTATTTGGCAAGGATTCAAGGCTTTCAGGTATGGGAAGGGGAAAATGAAGCTCTTCAGCCAGAATCGTAGCATTGCCATCAAGGTTTCACTCTTGCCCTCTTGAATGTGGGCATGCATGTAACTTATCTTGTAAAATTAGATGGTGTCTGAGGCAGTTTCTGGGTCCGGAGAAAAAATCTGCACCAATATGTGCATCCCTCCTTCTCTTTTTTGTTCCTTCCTTACATTCATCTTACTGCAACCCATCTTTCTCTTCTTTGTCTATTCTCTTCAAATAATTACAAGCTTAAATTATGCCTTTTACTTGCACTTCTTTGAGGGGCTTCATTGAAATAGAAGCTTTACATACTGCTTTGGCATTGGTTTCTCTCTTCAACTCTGATCCAGAAGGTACCAATGAACCACCTTACCTTTGTGCTTGTTGTCTAGGCCGGGTTATTAAAATAATTTCTTTGCTTACCACCCCGAACCTCATAGTTGTAATTTGATATTGTGGTTTAGTAATGGTACTTCCCAGTTTAGTGCTCCCACTGAGACTCTCCAAATCATGAGCTGCTCACTCAGTCCCCCTCCTGTGTGGTGGGCTGGAGAGGAGAATTAGAGGCACAAAAGGTAAAGATCACAGGTTGAGATATGAACAGTTTACTGGAAACAGCATCGAGATAAGAAAATGAACTGTAACAGCAACAATACTAATGACAGAGGGTGTAAGAAATGAAGGATTCACATGGAAATCCCTTGACAACAAACGATATCTGACCTCTCCCTCTACCATGCTTCTTGACTGGAAGGGACTCTGTTCTCCCTGGAAGAGAATTGCTTCTCCCTGCTCCTGGCAATGATGTGAGGTGGTGTAGAATAACTTCTGGGTCCTAGCCATGCCCCTTTCTAAGTACTGCAAAAATTAACCATCTCCTGGCTGGAACCAGGAAATTATTCATCCCTTATTCTATACCATCTATGACATGCCGAAATCCTACACCTTCCAACTATATACATATAGATGGATAGATAGGTAGATAGACAGATAGATTGATAGACACATATACACAAGCACAGGTATCCTTTCCAGAGTCAATGGCTGTCCCTCCAAGATGTCTGTTGACATCATTTAGTCCATGACTGTGGGTTCCATCCATCCTAGATGTCTCCCAGGGCAGGAGGGCTGGTGTGCTCTTGGCTGGTTGCAAGCTGCATTAGGAGCTCATGACTGGTGTATCTGGAGCAGTCCATCCTCATTGTCCATGCTAATTATGGCATACAGTGGCAGTGTCATTCAGCAACTAATTCTGCACAGTTCAACATTACAGACTGTTCTCACCCAGAAATCAAATTCCCTTGAGGTACAGATCATGTTTCCTCATCCCTCTGCATTATCAACCAAGTGCACCCAGGTCCTTGAGCAAAAACAACCCCATGGATACATTTGCCTTTGCTTGAGACAGTACTAATCCAAACTGTCTTCTCTAATGCATTTCTCATATGCACCATGGGGAGTTTATCATCCCCTTCTACAGTACATGGAGGTTTTGGTTGGGCAGGGCCAGCTTGATTGGTATTGTTAACTAACCTAACGAAGACGACCTTCATTAAATGTGTATCCCAGTATTTAAAGGTCCCACTGCCAATTGCTTTCAGTGTGGTTTTTAACAGTCCTTTGTACCATTCAGCTTTCCCAGATGCTGGTGCACAGTAGGGAATATGAATTACCCACTCAATGCTGTGCTCTTTGGCCAAGGTATCTATAAGGCTATTTTTGAAATTAGTCCCATTGCCCAACTCAGTTCTCTCTGGGGTGCCATGTTGCTAGAGAACTTGCTTTTCAGGGCCCAAGATGGTGTTACAGACAGTGGCATAAGGCACAGGATGCAGTGATTGCTTCTGCCATTTTGATCATGTAGTGCTTGCCTTGGTGGGTTTGTGGCAGTGTGATGTAATCGATCTGCCAGGCCTTACACTTCAGCCATCATCCCCCATACCACAGGGGCTTTACTCTCTTGACCTGCTTGATTGCAGCACATTTCACAGTTATGGATAACTTGGGTGATGGTGTCCATGGTTAAGCCTACCCCTGGATTACGAACCCATCTGTATGTTGCATCTCTTCCCTGATGACCTCAGGTGTCATGGGCTCACCAAGCCTGAAATAACTCATCCTTATGTTGCCAGTCCAGATCTACCTGAATCTGCTTCTCTGTTGTTATGATGCTCTTCAGTAGCCTGACTCTTGGGTACATGTGCATCTACACAATGGACTTTCACAGCCAACTTTTCTATGCAGGCAGAGATGTCTCGCTGCACTTCAGCAGCCCAGATGGGTTACCTCTGTGCTGCTGATTGGTCTTTTTCCATTGGTCTAGCCACCTCACAGAGCATTTGCAACCATCCACTAGTCAGTGTAGAGGTAGAATGCTGACCATTTCTCTCATTCAGAGATATCTACAGCCAACTGGACAGCTGTCATCTCTGCAACCTGACTTGATCCACCTTATCCCTTAGTAGCTTCTGCAACTTGCCATAAAGAACTCCCTTCAGCAGCTTTCCATTTTTGATGTTGCCCTACAATACAACAGGAACCATCAGTGAAGGGAGTGTATCTCTTTTCAATTTCTGGTAGCTGATTATATGGTGAGGCCTCCTCATATGAGCATATGTCACCTTCTCCTCCTCTGATGATCATGATAGTCCCAAATTTTCACCTTCGGGCCAGTTCATGATGACTTCCAAGATCCGTGGGCAATTGGAGTTTCCTGTTCAAGCTCATGTGACTCACTTACTCCACGTAGCATCAGTGGCATGACGTGTGGAAGGGACTTTCCCTTTGAACATCCAGCCCAGCACTGGCAGTCAGGGCACCAGGAGAGCTGTGCTTTGCTTCCAGTTACTTCTGAAGCAGCTCAAACCCCTTCAGAAGCTGCCAGTATCTCTTTTTCAGTTGGGGTGTAAGAGATCTTGGGTCCTTTGTATTCTAACTCCAGAACCCCAGGAGTCACCCCAAGTACATTTTGCCAGAGACTCCAGGAGGGACCATTCTCCTGGCTGCAGTGTAGAGTGCGTTTTTCACATCTTGCCCATCCTGCAAGGGCTACTGCATGGGTGATCTCCTGTATAATTTGTTCAAAAGCTTATTGTTCAGGACCCCACTTAAAATCATTTTTCTTCCATGTCACATGATAGAGAGGGTTTACAATCTGACTTCTCTGGAATATGCATCCTCCAAAAACCCATGGCACCTAGGAAAGCCTGTGTTTCCTTCTTGCTGGTTTGTGGGAACATAGCTGCTATTTTGTTGACCACATCCATTGGATTCTGGCAATGTCCATCTTGCCATTTTACTCCTAAAAACTTAATTTCCTGGGCAGGTCCCTTAACCTTACTTTACTTTATGGCAAAACCAACCTTCAGGAGAATTTGGATTATCTTCTCCCCCTTCTCAAAAACTTCCTCTGCTGTTTTGCCCCACGCGGTGATGTCATCAATGTATTGCAAATGTTCTGAAGCCTTTTCCAGTGCAGTAGGGATCAGTCAACACAGCAAATAGTAGGGCTGAGTTTCCCCCACTGGGGCAGTCAGTTCGAGGTGTACTGGACACCCCTCCAGGTGAAAGCAAATAGTGGCCTGCAGCCTACTGCTAAAGGAATGGGGAAAACCACATTAGCAATACTGATGGTGGCACCACTTTGCTCCAGTTTGTATTGAAGTTCCAGCATGTCTGGTACAGCAGCGCTCAGTGGTGGTGTGACTTTGTTCAGGCCATGATAGACCACTGTCAGTCTCCATTCTCCACTGGACTTACTCACGGGCCATATAGGACTACTAAAGGCTGAGCAAGTCTTGCTGACCACTCTCTGGCTCTCCAGTTCACGAATCATCTCACGGATGGGGGTCGTGGTGTCTTGGTTGGTGCGGTGTTGCTGATGGTGCACCGTTGCGATGGCCATCAGTAACTGTTCTTTACCCCTCAGCAGTCCCACAGCAGAAGGGTCCTTTGAGAGACCAGGCAAGGTATTCAGCTGTCTGATTTCCTCTGTCTACACAGTAGCTATCCCAAGAGCCCAAAAATGCTCTTTTGGGTCCTTGGAATGCTCTCTCCTGATGTTATCTGTGCCAAGGATGCACAGGGCCCCTGGGCCAATGTTATGATCTAGTTATTAAAATTATTAGAAACGTCTTTGCCCAAATTAAGGTGCAAATGAGACCATATGCCAAAGTCAATAGTGTGGATTTTATTTAACAGTAGATGTGAGACAGAGAGATAGACAGAAATAGAAAAAGGGGTGGGGGAGTGTAAGAAAGAGAGTGACAGAGATTAAAATAGAAAATGTCCACTCTGTGGACCCAGCAGCATTCCATTCTTCTGGTCTTCTTGGTGGTGAGGGTCCCACACAGCATTCAGGGGATGTCCAGGCACCACCCCGATAGGGGAAAAGCTCTGCAGTCTCTTGTGACAGGCTCTGGATTTGTTTCATCACTTGGATCACATGCAGTGGCATAAGGTTACCACTGGTGGTGGAAGGCATCAGGAATGAGTCTGGGGTCTTTAATGGTTTATGACCCCTTCTCAGCTGCCTCTCATGTGAATGTCCTGTGTGTACATGGTCTTCTGAGGGGTAGTTGGGGATTATTCCTTTGGTTTGGTGTGGAGAGATTTTGCAATCACACACCCAAAACCCTTATCCTCCACCACCTGCTGAGCCTTGTTTACTTCTCCTCAGACCTGAGAAAATTAGACAGTAGTCTTATCTGAAGCTCCCATCATAGTCCAAATTCCAGTCAGGAAGCATGTTTGGGAGGGGGGTGCTTCAGTGGTTGCAGACAGGCAGTTGCTTCTTTGCAGTTTGACAAAAAGGCTTTCTATGATTTTGACAATGTTTAAGACACTAACAACAATTCAGTCCATCACAACCAGTCACAATGGGGTGTTTTTGCCTTTCATTCCCAGTCAAGCTCACTTTAGCTTCCAGTACAGTCAGCTGTTGTGATCCCCTTGTCACCCCAGAAGTAGAGATGGATTCTGCCCCTATATATCTTGATGGCATCAGGATACATTGTGCGCCGATGTCAACTAAAGCCTTACACTCTTGTGGTTCTGATGTGCCAGGCCATTGGATCCACACAGTCCAATAGATCTGATTGTCCCTCCTGGCTGGAGGCAGGGCCCCTCAAGTTCTGGTAATAGTACTCATTGCTCACTTCTTGTTAATATGAACTGGACGTCCCTTCAAGAGAATCGGAAGTAGCATCAGGTCTCCTATTCTGTCTGAGGACTTGCCCTCTGGAAACTGGAGTGGCATTTACCCTTGAAGAATTTCTTGAGGTGGTTGTTCTTCCTCTAAATTCATGTATCCATGCTGCTACGGTAGAGGTGGGTTTTCCATCGCACTTCCTCATGTCCTCTCCATGGTCATGCAAGTAGAACCATTGTTTACCAGGTGATGTGTACCCTCTCTCTGGAGCGCTTGCTCCCAAATAGAAGAGAGTCTGCCTCAGAAAGACACTCTTCCTGTTCTCTTCAAGGCTTTTTATCTTCACTGACCTCCATCCCCAGGTCCTCTCCAACACACAGGCCTGTAGCATCTGTTTATCTCTCCTCTTAACAGAGAAAGAGCCTGCAAGCTTCCCGTTGTTCAGCTGTAGTTTGGGTGGCCACAATGCCTGTTGATCTGCTTTCCTTGTCCTCCTCGTGAGGGTGCTGTCTAGTATTGAACTGTGTCCAGTAAAGAGTAGCCAGGGCCCAATACATTTCAGAAAGTTCCTCCTCTCTGGAGTTGCCACGGTATTCTCCTTGCAAATATTCTATCACTTTATCAGGGGCTTATAGTTGGAAACAGATAATTTCCCCCAAAACTAGCCCATTTTCTCCCACATTCCATGCCGCTCATGACTATCAACTCTTAGGGAGGATCTCTGAATGACCTTCCTAGAAATCTCTTCCTTAAGTAAACATGGTGTGGACCACACTGAGGGGACTTGGCAGACATAGCAACAAGAATATGCTTTCCTTAACATCCAAAGGGAATTGAAAATTCTCAAAAGCTGTTGTAACAGGCCTGAAGGAGGAAAAAGGGGTGAAAAGCTGGGGAAAATCATCCTCCCCTGTGCCCCCCTCAGACTGGGTACAATTACTAACAAACTCCCAGAGGTAGCACCTGAGATAAGGGCAGAAGAGCAACATCGAATACACATCCCAAATGACCCTTATTGCCTTTGATGTTATCATATCATAAGCTGATATCACACAGTATAGCAACAAAGCAATCCTGATCCTGCTTCCTGCTCGGAAAAAAAACCATCGTGAGCAGCTCATTTGAGAATATGTACAGGGTTAGGTGCCACAAGCATATAAACAGACCAAGCAACATTGTGTTCAGTAGCTCTGTACCTAATACAACAAATACTTAGATCAAGTTTGTTTCCAACCTGCTCTGCACAGATCTGTTGCTATCCCAACCCTTCGTGCTCCACACTGGGGGCCAAAAAAGTCTGTCGTGGTTTAGGAATGGTACTCCCCAATTTAGTGTTCCCATTGCGACTCTCCAAACCATGTGCTGCTCGCTCCCTCCCTCCCCATCCCTCCCAGCTCTCGCTCTGTGGTGGGATGGAGAGGAGAACTGGGGACCCAAAAGGCAAAGACCAAGGGTTGAGATAAGAACAATTTACTGGAAACAGCAATGAGATAAGAAAACTAACAGTAAAAGCAACAATACTAATGGCAGAGGGTGCAAGAAATGAAGGATTCATGCGGAAACCCCTCGACAATAGACAACATCCAACCACTTGACAACTTCCTCCTCCACACTGCTTGACTGAAAGGGACCCTATTTTCCCTGGAAGAGAATCCCTCCACCCCACCCCCAGCAATGATGCGAGGTGGTGTAGAATAACTTCTGGGTCCTAGCCATGCTCCCTTCTAAGTACTGCAAAATTAATCCTATCCTGGCTTGTATCAGGACGTTTGAAAACCATATTTTGCTCAGTAGTGAACATAGACCCGGTGTCAGAGCAATGCAAAATGGTTTTGCTATCACAGTTAATATTATAGAATGTAAGATGAACCATGCTGGATCGGTGCATGAGTCCTTCATCACTGATAACCTGCACTCAGCAATGGCAAATAGCCTACATTTCATAGGACAGTGCCAGCCTTTGTAGTACATCCAGTCATTTCTGTGGTGTGGAAGATGGGAAAAGGAAGCCTCTTCCCCATCATATTACATGCAAATTTCTATGTGTATATGGGTAATGGTTCATTTTACTGTGTTGTACCATCAGGGGATAGTACCACATATGTAGAAATTTATTTTTCCTGCTATAGGTTTTTGTTTCATTGGGTTTTTTTTCCCTTTTCAGAATTGTGAATTTGTTTCATTTGAAAGGTTGGTTTCATATGCTCTAGCATATGTATTTTGATCATATAACCAAATTCTGGAAATGGGGGGTTTCTGTTGGAATTTTTGAATGCCTGATAATGGAGTTTTTTGGGGTTTTTTTTGTTTGTTTTGTTTTGTGGTTTTTTTTTTTTTTTTGTTGTTGTTGTTGTTGTTGTAATTTACAAAGTATGCATTCATGGGAAGTGACTTAAAAGAGGCTGCTAGGATTCAAGGAATAGTGTCAGATGTTCTGTTGGTATAAGCAGCATAGTTAAATTACGTTTGCTTACATCAGATATCATCAGTTGTGGATTTAACCTAAGACTGTTTCTGTCTAAAATATACATTCAGCTTTCTTTTGGTCTTCATTTTTGAAATGTCATTTTTGCTTCATTAGTTTGAATGTCTTTTAATGAAACAAATGATAAAAGCCTCAGCCTCACTGTAGTAGAGTTAAGCTGCTAATAGGAATTCAGTTTTCCTGAGTTCCATTTGTTATCTGCCTGCAGTAGAATTCTTATGGAAAGGAATTCAATCCTTGAAGTTCTCACTGCTCACTTTCACATCTTGTCAGATTGCTTGTGTCTACTAGTAACGCTTTATTTTCATAGAACGGATGCACAATTTATGTTACTGTTTTGGTTCCTACTTGCCTACAGTATGTGGTTATTGTAAAATGATTAGTTGTGTTTGTCCTGGTTTTTTTCATGCTTTGATTCTAGATGCTTATGTAGAAATTGTTTAAAGGGTCTTACCTTGAGCCAAAAAGTATAACCTGTTTTATCCATGAACTAGACTACTACTTTTTACTTGGCCCTAATACAAACCAAGGAATTTGGTACAGAATCTCAATTATTAACATCTATCCACTGTGTATGTAACTGATGGTTTTACATCATCTTAGCGTATTTTTAACACCTTGCTTGAATAAGCCTGATTATTGATGTGAAACTGCTGCTGATGGGTGGCTGAGCTGAGGTGGTGCAGTGAATAGAACCTCTGTGGGAAATGGCTCAGTGGCCTGTCGGGTGCACAACACAGGTCTCTTCACCATTTCAGCCTAGAAAGCTCTTTGTGTTTAAGAGTTCAAAACCCAATTTCTTTACAGGCTAACTTTCTCAGGCTTATTTACTAAATAGATAACTACTGCATTTGCAAACAGCTAGCTTGTTTCATGTTTCCTGAATGACCCAAAATGATTTTTAAATTGTTAGCATGTATTTGTATTCTGGTCCAGATGATAACCGTAGTTTTGTCTTTCATTGAAGAACGTATACATTCTGTTCTGTTACAATGTATTTTTTGAATTTTTTAAAAAAATCAATAAATACTCATATGATGTTTCATTTGTAAATGTAAACAATGTTATTTGCTTATTTGAATGGTTTTCTTGAATTACTTTAGCTGCAGGAGACACATCTCTAAAATGTGGTTACTTAATTCTTCTGAACTGTTTGTGTATGATCTCAGCCATGTTCTATTGTAAGCCCTGAATATTAAGAGTTACTGGGACCAATATATAGTTAAGTACTAAAAAATTGCATTTTTATTCTTTATGGTTAATTATTCTAAAGGTATTTGTAATTGATAAGCAGCAGCTCAGTGTCACTGAAAAACAGGTGTTTAGCTTGGGTACCTTCAAAGCTCAGGCCTCAAATTACCAGTGATAATTAAACACAAATACTTAAAGCAAGCCTTTACAAACTCTGAATAAAGCATTTTTATTGCTTGCTTCATATTAATGAATATGGTCTACAAGTTAATTGTTTTGCAGATTTTGACTGGAAATGGTTTAAAGGAAAATTTAGTTTTGGTAAAACTGTTACTTTTAAATGACTGTGTGGTATTTTGGCCGTTGTTTTGTAATCAGATTGGGAAAGTTTCAGTTGTTTCTGCTGACTGTTTAAGTGCAGTAAATTATTCTGAGAGTTTGTTTAAATGGAAACATTTAGAGAAGCTGTTTGCACATGAATAACTTGAACCTCCGCTTTTTACTTAGGCAAAATGTAACTAGCAGGTAGTCCAGTAGGAGATTCCACTGGGAGCTTCCATGAAGCAAAGATTGTAAAATATAAAAAGCCATGATTGAGTGCCCACAGTCTGTCCCAGCGCAGCCATATTTGCCTTGTTCCTTTTGCAGGGCTTGGAGATCTTTACTTTTTTTCTGTAGTGGCCACATAGCAAAACCTCACACAGGATATAGTTTCTATGTGATATATTCCTTTGACTGCAGTGGTTACACAATTATTTTTTTCCCCTCCACACTTGTTTAGTGGTTAAACTGTTCCATTTTAGAAATTGATAGACTTAATATTTTATTGTTCGGCATTTCCAAATGTTTCTTATTTCCCCTATGGCACATGTTTCTGAGTGACTGCATGCACAGGAGAGGCCCTGCTGGATGCTCTAGAGTCAGGTTTACTTGTGGCTCATACATTTCAGGGCATGGGTTTGAATTGTTGGCAGGGGAAGGCTGAAACTAAATTTCTACACTTGTATTAGGGTTGACACTGAATTCAAACCTTTCACTGCATGGCTTTAAACAAAACTAAACACTTCGTGAAGGTTAAATTTGGGAGTGCTTGGATCTAACTTCTGACGTACGTGAGGAGAATTTCAGGGAAATTCAACCCTCAGAGAATTTCAAAGAAAAGAGTTATAGTTTTGATCGATCTGTGCATAATGGACAATTTCTCTGAGCAGGTCAAATTTTAAAAGGCACCTAAATAACATTTTTAAAAATTGACGTAGGTGCTGTGGATGCTAATAGCACCTCATTTAAAGCTGTAAAATCATCCAAAAAGTGGTACTTTTTGTATCACCAAGTGATACTGTTCTGTCCTTGAATGTGTCAGCTGCAGACAGTTTATGGCCACTGTTGGGCTAAGATTGTAATTGTGGAAAATGGGCTGGTTCTAGAGAGTACAAAAGTCGCATCACTCATTCAAATTAGAAAAAAACAAACAATAATTAAGGGAAACCTTTGAAATTACAACATCAGGCTTCCTGGCATCATTAATGTTGTACAGATTTGAAAGCTATGTCAGCAAAATGTTTTTAGATAAATGGTTCTTTGAAGATCCTATCCCCAAAAATCAGGAAAAATGAGGATATTAGAAAGTGAAGCTGTTTGTAGAATAGTGTTAGAGAACACTTTTGAAATAAGGCTGTTAAAGAAAATAGTGCTTCATCCACATTTGGAGTCAAGCCCCCCAATAATTCTATGTGTATAATTGTGCATCTAACCCCACCTCCCCCAAGCCATCGGAGACTTATTTTCCAGCAGGATTGACCAGACTGCAAATATTAGTGAAATTGTTCTGAAACTGTAGGGTACAGTCAGGCCTAGAGGGAACTGTGATCAGCTGACTCACCTTAGTATTAATGCTCAAGGGGCAGAGAGAAATAATGACATTTATATTGAAAAATATAATGAGTTCTTACTCTTTAACTCCCTTGAAATAGCTTGGATGACTCTGCTACCATGTATTATCAATACTTACTTCTGTAAAACAAGCTGTGGATCCAGGCTTTTGTTTCCTGTCCCAGTGCCTTGGGTCTTGATCAGGTGTACTAGCACTGTGCCCACTCATTGTTCAGTTTCTGTAAAATGATGTGCAGAATGGTGTTGTGCTCTGTCATCACCAAAAGTATTGAAACCTGGCCTTTAGCAGAGGGTGTTATCCTCCTGTATGTTTGTACTGTGCCATGCTCAATGACCAGTACAATAATCTCAACAGCATTGGGAGTATAAACACCTTTAGAAATGATTGACAAAGTCCTCATTATCTCAGTTTCTGTCTCTTCTGGAAACTGTGGGGGTTTTTTCTGATGGGAGGTTTGCACTTTCACCAATTACCAAACTATTGCCTGATGTTCCAATTACTGTAGACTTTTGTTGTGGGTTAACTCCAGTGGGCAGCTTAAGCACCACACAGCTGCTCACTCCCTCCCCCCTGGTGGGATGAGGGAAAGAATCAAAAGGGCATGAGTGATAAAACTCGAGAGCTGAGATAAAGACAAAGGCTGTGTGTGCAAGCAAAGAAAAATAAGGAATTCAATCACTACTTCCTGTGGGCAGGCAGATGATCAGCCATCTCCTGAAAGCAGGGCTCCATCACATGTGACAGTGACTTGGGAACACAGATGTCATAGCACCAGACACCACTCCTTCCACCTTTCCCCAGTTTTTATCACTGAACAGGATGTCCTAGATATGGGATATCCCTTGGGTCAGTTGGGGTCAGCTGTCCCAGCTGTGTCCCCTCCCAACTTCTTGTGCACCCCCAGCCTGCTCCCTGGTGGGGTGGTGTGAGAAGCAGAAAAGGCCTTGACTTGGAAGCTCTGCTCAGCAATAGCTAAAACATTGGTGTGTTATCAACAGTGTTTTGGTCACAAATCCAAACCTTAGCACTACAAATGCTTTTATGAAGAAAATTAGCTCCATCCCAGCCAGAACAAATGTAATTTCCACCCTTTATTCCATGCCATTGACATCATGCTCAGGTCTCGTGTTCCCTCATTAACAACCCACTCTTTCCTCTCCTGT